TCCTTAACATCTACAAGAAATTTTTAGTGCTATATTCTTATTTCAATATTTTTTTTAAAAAAATTCATACAGGTCAATACTTGACCTGAATAGTAAAGCCATGCCAGCTTTCACTCCTCTTTGTTTATTTCAGCTTTACATTTACAGTCATTTACTCATTCATGCAACAAATATTTATGTTTCTAACATTTTACCCAAGATAGAATGATAAACAAGAAAACAAACATGCTTCCTTGTTTGCAAGATGATGTTAAAACATAGTGACTACTTCTTTCTTGCTATGAAACAAAAGGAACTATTATACACATACATATGAATTACTAAGAGAAGGTCTAGAATATAGTAAACAGTCAATAAACGGGACTTATATTTAATCACAAGGCTGAAGGAAGTGATGAAACAAGTCACATGGCAAATGGAAAAAGAATTTCCATGTCAAAAGAAGAGCTGGTGCAAACATCCTTAGGCAATAAAATAAGGCGATCTTTCTATTGCTAGAACAAAATAACTGACACCACAATTTAACGGAGGAGAGATTTATTTTGGCTCAAGGTTTCAGCCCATGGTTAACTGGACTGGATCCATGGCAGAAACTTCATGGTGGACAGGTAAGATGGAGAAAAGATATGGCACCTGGAAACCAGATACAGTTCCTAAGGTGACGCTCCAAGACTCACTCAGACATACCCAGAACTATGTTTTCCTAGTCTCCCAGGCATTTCTCAAGCCAATCAACTTGACAATCAAGGATAAGCATCAAAGTGTTCTTAACCATTACTTAGTTAGCTACAGGATATTATATAAAGGACAATATAAGTTTTAGGGAAAGTTTCTCAAAAGGCTAAAGATTTTGCTATGAGCTGACTTGTGTCTCCATAACACTCATAGATAGGATTCCTAACATGGTAGTTGGGACACCTGAGAGCAATCCTATTTGGAGACAGGTTTTTTATAAGGCAATTAATCTTAAATGAGGTCATTAAATGAGGACCTTAACTGAGGTCCTAATCCATTCTCACTGGAAGTTAAGGCACAGATACATAAAAAGAGAAGATCACAGCATACCACACAAAGAAGACAATGGCCATTCACAAGCCAATGGGAGAGAAGTCTGGAACAACTCCTCCCCTCATATTCCTAGGAAGAAACCAATCTGAGTGACATTTTGGTTTGAATTTCAACACTATGAGAAAATATATTTCTATTATTTTAAAAGCAACCTTAGTTATAGCACTTTATAGCAGCCCTAGAAAACTAACACAGATCTTATTTTCAAGAATAAGAAGGCTTTCCAGCACTAAGGAGGATGAGCCAGGAGGATTACTGTGAGTTTGAGACCAGCCTGGGCTACAAAGGGAGTTCAAGCCCAGCCTGAACTGCACAGTGAAACCTTCTCTCAAAAAGATAAATAGTTAAAAAGAAAAACATAGAATAAGGAGAACTTTGCTACTGTTGGGTAGGTATATTCATCATTCAAATTTTGAAGTTATGTTCTTTAAAAACTTAATCTGTTTAAAGGGACAGTAAGTGTTAATTCAGATTAGATCTCTGAAGAGTTTTTCTAAATGAATTAGTTAAATTCAAAGAAGGCCAGAAGTAAACCAGTTCCCCAGGAGGCAGCTGAGACAATCACACGGAAATTTTCACACTGAAATTTGTGAAAGCACCTTGAGCAGCACAGGTTTATTAATATTTCTTATGAAATAATTTAATGGCAAGAATTAAGATGCATAGAAAAAAGTAAGAGCAACCTTGTAAGCACTTGAATTCCTCTTACTATTGTAAGCCCACAAATCTTTGGTTGGAGAACCACACAGTGAAGGTCAGACCATATCTGAGCCTTAAGCTGGTACCTTGTGTTCAGCAGAGCTGCATAGGAATAAGAGGTGTCAGGATCGTGAAAAAAGAAAGCTTGGTGGCAATTTTGGTATTAGACCCATGGAAGTACCTAGCTGAGGGAGAGCTATAGCTAAGAGCACTGAGCAACATCTTATCAAAACTGGAGAGACAATGGTAGGACTGGGGCCAGGAGTAAGAGCTGCCTGCCAGGAGGTCAGCAGAGGGAAGTGAAGACTAATGCTAGAGCAAAGTCTCTGCCACAGGGAATTTAGGGGGGGTGCATCACTAGAGGGCGAGCAAGTGCACCCTGCCAAGTAGTGATGGATGCTTGCAGAACAGAACTATCTCTGAAAATAGAAATATTGTAAAACAAAGATGTGATTGCAATTTAATGAAAACAGCACTCAAGCAACCATACAAAAAAAAAGAAATCATCAAGAATAAGATGCTCCAGCAGCCAGTGTTGCCATGGCATTTTAAAGTGCTGGTTGTACCAGAATCTTGACTGAAAATTGAGATGGAGCCATAATCAGGTTGCATTCAAACACAGGCATACTATAATTAAGTAATTATTTGATCCATTGGTTTTGTTAAATTTCTCTGCACAAAGCCAGCACCTCTCCTCAGTTCCTGCCACATTCATTATATTTAGCTCCTGCTTGATATTTCTTAGTATAAAGGCTAAATAGCCAAAGTTTACTTTCCTAGTTCAACAATAAAAATGCAATGGTTTAAGTTAAACCATCTGAAGAGTATTTCTGATTATAATATAAACAAAGTTCTCAGTCAGTCACGCATAGAGAAAAACATGTAAATTCAGACCCCGTTTGTGTTATGTTGATTTTAGTTTAGTACATAGTGAGATATATAGGTCTAGTTCAGGCTTCTGCAGGTGGGTAGCCAGTTTTCTCAGCACCACTTATTAAAGAGTGAGCTAGTGTATCCAGCTAGGAAGCATTACTGAAGCAATAGTGATGGCAGCTTGAATTTCAGTTCGGTAAGGACAGTGGTGAGGAGAAGTTGCTGATATATCTATAAAGGGACTGGAGAGAACACAGATCAAAGAGAAATCAAAGAGGAATTCTAAGTTTAGGGGCTGAGGATAGTGATGAAATTCACAAAGATAGGAAGTCCCGGGGAAGAAGAGATAGGACTAAAGGGACATTAATAGTTACGTTTTGCTCATGTTATTTGAGATACAAATTACATCTTCAACACTGAGAGACAGAAGAAGGTAAAGGTTTTGGGATGAATGCAGAGATTTGGTTTCCACAATTTAAATATAGTGCACTTTAAAGTTATTATTGCTATGGTTTATATCTAGATGTCCAATCAAAACCTCATGTGGTCATAGGTGAGACTTTTTGGAGGTGGCTGAATACTGGCTTCAGAGGTGTGCAATACTGGCTTCAGAGCAAGTGATAATTGGATTAGCCTACTCATTGGATTATGGTGGCTCTGGGTGTGGATAACCTGGGCATGGGTGGCACTAATCAATGGGCCTATAGCCTGGTTGGAATATCCAGACTCTAGGCCCATTGCTCACTGCCGCCTACTTGCCATGCCATGGACTATTTCTCCTCTGCCATAGCCCTCTGCCATGATGCCCTGCCTTGAAGCCATCTGACATGGACTGAAACCTCCACAAACTACAAACTAAAATAAATTCGTTAATTTGTGGGGGTTGTTTATTTGGTACCAGAAGCATGAAAGCAACTAAAACCATCACCATGGCTGTAGACTAGCACCATGGGACAGCCCAGAGAAGCTCTAAATTATCCCTTTCTTCTGAATTCTGGTAACGAGATGATGCTTGCAAGTGAGGCCTTTAAAAAATGAGCATATGATAGATAGGAAAAAAGAAAAGGACATAGTCCTTTACAGTTGCTGCTAGGAATTCACATTAAAAAGAGAGATAAATGAGCACTGAGTGTGGAATTACCGTAATGGGAGAAAGAGAAAGTGAAGACTTTAAGGGAAGATTCTATCGAAAAGTCAATGTGGGGCAGAGAAGTAGGCTGAAGGAAGTTCTGAGGCCGTGGGAAAAATATTTTCAAAGTGGGGCACTATTAATGAATACATGGTAAGCCAGTAAAAATGATCCAATGGAGATAAGTTGATTGATTGCATTAATTAGGCCAAGCAAAGTTATTCTGCATAAGAAATAAAATTAAAAACTCATTTTAGCATCATAAAATTTTATTGTTAACTCTCAACCATAGTCACTGATAGAAGGCACAGGGTGAGAATTCTCTGGTCTTGTTTTTGCAGTCAGGCTCTTCCACGTCAACACAAAACCTATACATTCCTTTGATGGAGAGTTAGAACATGCAGGCTTATGCCAGACAGATGATAGCTAATTATGAAAGTGGTACAGGACACCTCCACCCACTTGCACTGACCAGAATCCAGTCATTCAGCTCCACTGTTACAATGGAAGCAGGGTAATATGCTTTTCCAATGTGATCAGTAGGAAAATACAATGGATTAAGAAATCCCTATCACACCACTGTATCCATTCCCACTTTTCATTACCAAATATGCGCTTTATTCTTTCACATACACCAAAAGCAGGCTCACACATTCCCCAAGTGACCAACACAGAAGATATCTGCACAGAAACTAATACAAACGCCAGAATTTCTGGGAGACCTCTCCACTTACATCTGCGTGTGGATCTTTGTAATACAACTTAACAATTAAAAAGTAATCTCTGGCTCCCACCTGCCATATGCAATGGCAGAACAGGGAAAGAACAATCACATAGATATATCTATAAAGAAAAACTGGAGGATACTTAGTACTAAGCAACTAAAATACCCTGGGCCTACTTTGTGAAGATCCTTTACCATAGAACACTCCTAAAACAGACCCAAGTTCTGCTCTCTAGAGCAGAAGTTTATTTGCTCTTTGTTCTTCATCTTCCTAGGCTTTATTCAGGGACGTTCTGCCTGTTACCCGCCTCACGTGGGTGTTGGAGAGTGCCCTCTTTGACAGCTGCACAGCTCATGGCCCATTTCCAGTCAGAGTCGTGCCAAGCCTCCCTGAAGAGTCATAGCCTTTTTTTAGATAAGGCTTCAGCATCCTTTGGCAGCAAATTGCCTCAAATAATTAGTATGCTTCTGATTTACTTGCTTCTAGTTAGATCTTATGAAGTTAACTATACTGGAAGATCTCTGACATTTGGATTCTACATCTCTTCATTCTCTCCTTCCTCACCAACATCTTGTGTCTCAGTTAACTGCAGTTACTATGATGCCGCTGGGCTTGAATTAACAGGCCACTTCTCTCAGAGGTGACTGAGCCACTGCATTCAAGTAAGTTTGGTGGGATCTTGTCTTCTCAAGCCTTTTAAAATCACATCTCTTTCTGGGGGTCTAGAAGTGGTTGGCTTTTCCAGTCCTGCAGGACCCTGACTTTGTGATTTTTTTCTTTCATTGTTTTAAACTACCCGCTTCCTTACAGAACTAATGTTTTTTGTGCTGTATTTCATTGATGCTAAGCTGCACTTTGTGTCTCAGTTTAACATTGTTGTCATTTGATGAAAACCTCTATGCCAGATAAAAAGGACAATTATTTTTCTTAATAAAAGCTATTTGTCACAAACCACGCTAAATTCTTTCCAAATGTGGCTAAATTTTGAAAGTATAAGACATGTTGTACAACTAAAATTAGTTTTTATGGGTTTTTTTGTCATTCAGAATTATATAAGGCCCCGATCAAAATAAAGACAATATAGAATTGAAAGTACTTTGAAAACTTTAAACTTGTAAAGAGTATAATTATACTCTTTGAGCTTGTAAAGAGTATAATTATAGGGATTTTTTAATAACCTACTAACAAACTAGTAGGGCAATATAAAATTAAGATTTCTAAAATTACATCAGATAAAAAGCAAATAGTTTTTCTTACACTGTTAATAATCAGAATAAAATATAGGATAATATGAGCTCAGTGGTAGAGTATTTGCCTAGTATGCATAAGGCTTTGGGTACTATCCTCACCATCACCAAAACAAAACAAAACAAAGATGTATACCATCAACCAAATTTAAGTATTCAGAAAAAAATTTAACAAAGATTTTCAAGATTTTAGTGAAGAAAATATAACTCATTACCAGACAGAAAATCAAACAGGCTACTCTAAATTAAATAAATAAATAAATATACCATGTTCGTGAATGGAGGGGGTTTTCTTACAATGTCGTATTCCCTGAAAATTATCTTTAACTTGAATGCAATGCAATTTTAATCAAATGTTTACACAGCTTTGGTTGTTGCTTTGTATCATACTGCTGTCATTTAAATAATATGTCCAAGCCACATACAAATTTTATGTGGGAGATAAGAGACTTTTGAAGAAAGTAAGAGAATTGTTCTATTTGAAATCAAGAATCATTTCTAAACTTAATTAATTGACAGTGTTATATAGGTACAAAAATAGGCCAATGGAATAAAATAAAAGGCAGAGACATAAACCACCGACTACAGCACAACTATGCAGAGTGCTTTAGTCGTCTATTGTCATTTTAATGAATGACCACAAATTTGACAAATTAAGCAACAAGAATCTATTAGCCTTACTGCCCCGTAGATTAGAAATTCAATACAGATCTCACCGGACTAAAATAAATACTCTGCCTGGACTTTGCCTGTTTTGAGCATCTCTGTGAGTGACTCACTTTCTCTGTTTTTTTTCAGTTCTAGTCACCAGTCACATCATTTCCCTCACGGCCAGCTTCTTCTGTCCTCAGAATCAGCAAGGCTGCACTTACTGACCTTCCTGCTATAATCACTGGTTCCTCTGACTGCTCCTTCTTCTGCCTCTCTCTTCTACATTCAAGGATCCTTCTGATGACAGTGTGTCCGCCTGGGTAAATCCTGATGCGGCTCATGTCTTAAAACCTTTGAGTAGAAACCTCATTTCCATTTGCAGTATTACTTCCTCTTTGCTACGCCACCTATCACACTGTGGGCAATTAGGATGTGAACATCCTTCCTTGGAAGACTATCATTTCTACCTACTACAAAGAGCATCAGAAAAAAATCAATGGGCAACAAATATTTCCAATTTTAGGTAAAGCCCATAACTTACACAAATAGAGCAATGACCCTCTTTAAAAAGAAGACAAAACTATTGTCAAAAATTGCGCAGAAATACATGGCTATATGAACACATGGTGAAATCTGTTTCTGGGGATGTGGAAGGATTTTTGAAAATATAGGTTCTGAGAACCTATCATTAGCTCTCTAGTAACTACGCCTCTGAGCAAAAGACGGACTACTTAAAGTAGGTTAGCTGGGATAATTTGTTAGTGTTATGGACAAAAATGAAAATACATTCAGATATCACTCCTATGCCACCCCAAAATCCAATGGATTAAAAATATTCATATAAAAACAAAGACTCAAAACATTTAGATGAGAAATAGGAAAATATATGTAGTCATTTATATTTTATTAGTGCGTAACAGTAATGCAGAATGAGACAGAATTTAGCGGTGTACATTTGTACATTGCTACAACACATTTTGGTGATTTTTATTCCCAGTACCATCCTCTCCCTGCCCTTCCCCATTTTCCTGAACCCTTTTTTCCTCCCCGATAGTCTACCTTCTACTTTCCTGTCTTAAGGAAAATATTTTTATACCTTTGAGACAGAGAAGGAATTGCTTTAAACATACACATTCTAACAGAAAATGTTGAAAGTTTAACTACATTAAAATTGAAAGCTTTTATTCAAACTTTAAATCCTTTCTGTTTTCCTTTGATTCCCATAGCACTGTCTGCACTGAGCCCATGTCTTCCCTTTCTGTTCTCTCTGTAGACACCACAGGAGGGGAGACAGCTGTGCAGTGCCTTCCTAGGAGAAATGACTTCAAGACTGGCAATAGGCAAAGATAGGTTGATCAAAAGGTGGGCACCACATGCCTCCATTCAATACAGTCCTGCGCTCTCCCTGAGGGGAGGAACTCAAGATCCTACTGCATGATTATTTAATCATCAGAATTTCTGGACAGTGCCTACTCCACATAGTACATAAAAATGAATGAATTCCCTTGGCAGGTCTTGCATAATTTTCCTAACCACGATGTTTTCCTTCCCAAAGAAAAGGGTTGGGATGAGAACAGGAAAACCAAGCGTACTTGGAATCACAGGGAAAACATCAGGATGGGAGGAAAGATGCCCATTACCATAATCCTATCAGGCAGCTGTGATACTAAATTGAGATCCCAGTAATATCTTTTTGTCAAGAGTTATACTCCAGTGTATAAATGAATGGATTTCAAAAATACAAAACTAATACTAATTTATAAATTATAATTTATAAGCTAATTTGTAAGATTTTAAATCTTAGAAGAATTACTGGAGCCAGATTTTGAGTCAGTCCAAGTCTGTGGAGGTAACAGGTTTGTGCTTATCCACATCTGATGTCTTTTTCTGTGGATGTCCTTTTGCTTAATTAACTAAGTTGAAGCTTTATTTTTTCCTATGGCTGTGCTGTTCCAAATCCTGAGTTTGTTTAGGGGAAACACAAAAAGAGTGGTCCTCTGTATTCTTTGACCACCACCGCTCCTCAGGGCCAAAGGGACCTAGGCAGGTTGCAGGCTGCCATGTACGCTCTCCTTAGAAGAAATAGCATGTCAAATGCCTCACTCGTCACCTCCCTTTAGCGAGTTCTTGTCTCAGCTTGCACAAGTGTCACTGCCACTTGTTCTCTTAACAGAAACGAGAAAGGGGCCAAATAGGTTTTCCTGCAACAGTGTCTTTGCACAAATTTTGCCACTTCTTGGCTTCTTCCACTGGATCTGATAGCTGTTCAAGCTACAACAGCCAGTTCCAATTCTTTTTTTCAGTTCAAGTGAGGATTTTTCTGTCATTTCTTTAACGATCACAACATAGGGAAGGTGTGGGAGGTTAAGAAGCAAAGGTCATGCATCCGTTGTAATTGCCTATAATTTCTTTCCTCTGAGACTCTTTCGTTCTCTTTTTAGGTTTAAGAAACTGCAGCTAAACCCAGCAGGAGTGAGTCTGGACCCCTGCAGTAAAAGGGCCTGGCCTTCCCTTTTCACATCAATCACTGCTTGCTAAGAACAGCATCCCCAGTGCTCCCCATTTTTTCTGCCACGTCATGCATATAACCCAGAGCACCATGTTGTTCATCCAACACATGTACTTACAAGCACCTGCCAGGTTCTGCACTAGCTCCTAGGTATACAAAGATGGATTGAATGTGGTTTCTTACCCACTAGGAGCCTTGCACTCATGAGTAGAACAATGCAGGACCAATAGCAAGTTCAGGTTAGGCAAAGAAAGAGAGCACAGACATGGAATACGTGGTCCAGTCTAGAGAAAGTAGAAAAGACACTGTGAAGAGGCAGTGATCTTTCCTTGGCTGAGTACTTCATGAATAAGAAGAGCTCAACCAAGAGTGGAAAGGAGTGAGATGAAGCTAGTCTGAGGGAATAATGTCTGGTGCATACTATAATCTCAGCACTACTGACATTTTGAGCCTGGTGATTCTTTGCTGTGGAGGAAAGAGGCTGTCCTGGCATGGTTAGATGCTCAGTAGCACCCTTGGTCCTTATTGGATAGGTCACACAGCATCTTCACCTCAGTTGCACCAATCATTAACATCTCTAGACACTGTCAATTTTATCCTTTGGGATGAAAATCACCTGCAGCTGAGTACCACTATGCTAAGCATGGTACAGAGAACTAGAAGCAGGTTGGTGTGGATAGGAGGCAGACAAGGACTGATGCTGGAGATGGAGAAGACAACAAAAGCTACATCTTAAGGGCCTTCCATGCCTTTTGATTCCAGGAAAGCCATTTAACCTAACAAAAGTGTTTCATATTTTGAGAAACCTTATTTATAATACTTTTCCCAAGTGACTATGGTGAAGGCCAAATTCGATCAAATTTGTAAAGAACAGCACTATGCAGCCACTGTCAAAAAGGAATTCGTTCTTTCTCTCCTGCTCAGTCCAAAATGGGAGCTAAAATGATAAGTTGAAAAACAGTCAGAGGCTGGAGTGAGAGGAGGGCAGGGCCTCTAAGACAAGGACAATTAAGCTAAATCCAAAGAGACCACTCGTAGTTGGATGGGCTCCCACTTGGCCAGCAGAAGCTTTAATTCCTAAATGCCCTGCATCTGTCCGTACCCACTGTGAGCTTATCTTTCCAGAACACCTGGCTGACATATGTTAGTCACACACACTTCTTCTTCTATTATTTATCTCAACCCAGCAAACAACTACAGTGTTCCCTATGTAGACATCCCAGGCCGTGCAGAAGAGGAAATAGGCATAACAATGAATAGAACTCCAGGGCTGCAGAATTTCCATATCCAGGATGGGGAAACAGCATGTATGCTTCTTCTCAGCAGAACCTTCCTCTTTATGACCCAAAACACCAATAAATCTTTCCAACTACCCACTGAATGTAAGCAAACAGATTTTTCAATAGGACATCCTCATTCTCTCCACCTGTCAATGCTCTTATTTTAGTTATGTGCTAACACACACATACTTCTGGTTCATTCTCTTTAGTTTTTAAATACCTGGGTTAGTTTCTTAAGGCTGACATATATAACATGCTGTGAAGTGACCAGGAGGCTTTACATACTTGGTGACACAGATCAACAGGAATATTTTTCCTCATAGTTATAGAGATCATCAGTCTGAAATCATTGTAAGGGCTCTGTAACCAACATGTGGACAAACTGATTATCTCTCCAGAGGCTCCATAAACCACTACCTTCCTTGCCTCTGCCAGTTTCAGTTGGCTGCTGTAAGTTCTGGGTTTGTGGCTGAACAACTTCCTCCTCTGCCTCTGTGATTACCTTGCCTCCTCTTCTTTATGTGTCTCTATCTTTGTGTCTTTTAGAAGGACACTTGCCATGAGATTCAGGGCACAGAAAATTTAGGATGATCACTTCATCTCAAGATGGTTAACTTGATTTCATTTTCAAAGATTCCTTTTTCAAAACAGGACCATGTTTGTAAATTGTAGGGGTTAGAGTTGGCTATGGAAGCCAGGGCTCAATGCACTATGCCATCATTACCCATAATGCAATATTTAGAAATCCAGCTGGATTAGCCACTTTCCACAACCAGTGAAGCTATTGGAGTGCACTTTCTATGGTCACAATGACAACACGGCATGTGTTCTTTTGAAGTTTACATAGTTGGACTATCTAAAATGTGTTTCTCACATATATTGCTTTTATCTTCCACTAGGTTGTAGCAAAGACACCACTGCACTCAAGCTTATGAAGACAGAATCACAGAGTGCCGCCTTATAAACATGCCGCCTGCCATTTCTCTATCTGCAAATCAGGGCCTTGGATGAGCTCATGAGTTTCTTTACTCAATACACATATTTTCCCTTATTTAGTCTTTACAAGAGGCTTTCAAAATAAGAACTATTCCAATACTAATTCTTACAAATCAGGAAACTGAAGTGATTTAGCAATGTTCCCATAATCACAAAGCAGATATGAAAAATATTTGAGCTTACTCTTTGTTAAACTTCAAAAATCTTTCCTTTCTGCTAAACCAAGCTGTGTCTCTTGAATCACATCTAATACAGGATCTTTCCTATTTTATACTGAGCTATTCAAATATAGCTTTTCATGGTGGAACTTAGTTGACTGAGCAAGAAAGCAATTCGCTCCCTTCCTGGTAAGTGCCCCTGGCGCAGGCCAAGAGGAGAACCAATCAGAGTCTCCTGTGAGCCTACTGGTGCACCAGCTGAGAATCAAACAGCCCACCCTCCCCCCACCTCACCCCTGTTAGCAACCGAGGGCAGAGCTCTGAGCATCTTAGGAGGATGACCATATACAATACAGCAAATATGGCAGATTTCCTTCTACCTTCTCTTTGAAGCCAAATGTTGTCGTCACTATTTTGCTCTGTTCTGATTAATTGTTTTGTTCTATTCAATATTCTTTTTCAATTGGTTTTATAATGTTCTGGTTTTTGTTTGATTTCACTATCCCTAATTGAATGGACAACTGTTGTGAAGATAATGAGATATACTGTGATACCTATTATTGTCATCGTGGGAACCTGCTGTGAAGTTCTGTACCAGTTTCACCGCATTGTCTGGATTGACTTTGTTCTGTTAAATTTTACTACCGTCAAAATAAAATTTAAAAAGTATATTTATAGCTTTTCATTAAAGATCCAAGCTAAAAGCACTACACATTCATATGTAGGTGTACACACATACACACACACATGAATTCTCTATTTACAAAAAAATTCTATGAATAATTACAAATCAGTTTCTATCTGCTTGGTTCTAAGTGTTGACAGGGCCATGAACGGACAGACCTGTGTCAGCATTTTACTGCAGCTTTGTAATGCTTGACAATTGCTTGCAGCTAAACAAACCATTGGAAAGGAGGCCAGAATTAGTGTAAAAGTTTTTGAAAAAAAAAAAAAAACTGACAAACTTCTCCTAGATTATTGACCCAACCTCAAAGGACAGTGACCTTATTATCTCTTCTTATCAGTTCAAGCTTTTATTGTGATTTTTATGGTTCAGCAGACAAATAGTGAATCCTAAATGGAAGCTGAATTCTTCAGAGAAGCCTTGAGAGGAAGAAGAGAATAATAATAAAAACTGCAAACTGCAAAGGAAATTGTCCTCTCTGGGAACAGGTATTCTTTCCATGGAATATATTTTTTGAAATGTCTGACCCTCCACTTGGCATTTTCAAAGCAATAGTTTGACTTGCCATTTTTACTAATTGCAGACATATGTGAATGCTAGTCTAAGATTTTGATTAGCAGAAACCCACGCATATTATCATTCTGAGGTAATGTGTTTGTAACAAGAGAGCCCTGATTCTTAGCACCAAAGTGTAATAATGTCCTAGGCCTTAGCATTTCAGGGAATGAGT